CAGGAGGGGTCAGCCACCGTGATTGCGTGAGATACTTCTGTGGCATCATCTTGTACGTCATATATTCAAGGGAAGATGCACTCCATCAAGCGAATCATACATCCAAACACTGGAGGCTTGTATTTCTGGACGCTTTTGGAAGACTATATATATACCGTTGTAAGTCGGACATCTTCAGCCCAACACGAATAAAACAAGTACATCGTGATCTAACTGAACATCTGACGGATAGACCCTTAAAGAAGGTGTATCGTCCAGGACCTGAAGAAATTGACCTGAAATCATCTCCCAGGATGTTCGGTCACACACAGGCGTCACTTAGATGAGGTCACTTAGATGAGGTCTATGAATCACTTGAACAGAATACTTGAACATTGGTCCGAGATGTGATGGATTGCGATCTTTCATAACCGTATACACTTCTCAATCCATTCCAGAGGTTGAAAGACCCTAGAGACTATCCCATAGGTATCCCAGTAGAGTCCCCATAAGTCACTTGATTCAGAATCCCTTCGTCCGCCCATTCCTTCGACTCCATCCACAAAAACCAAGTGACGCGCACCAGCCACATGAGTGCCGCGCGGCAGTCGTCCAGCTGATCGGGCCATTGAGCGCGCCGGCGGCGGTATTCGCAAGAGACGATCAGGAAGCCTCGAGTTCACACACTCCAAACGCTCAATGAACACCTGGGCCCCCGAAACGCGATGTGTCTTAATGAAAAAACCATCTTAAAGGTTAAGGGGTGTCCATTAACCACCCCAAATCCGGGGGCCGGGGCCCTGGTGTTAGAATATTTCTAGTATCCGTATGCTGAAAAGGTGTTTGGGGTGGCTGCCATGTTCGGGTCCAGTCATACCGAACCTGAGGAGGCACGACGGGAGCGCTAGGGTCTAAAAATGGTCTTGGACTTCCAGTGTCCAAGAGTCCACGCCCCGACCTTCCACGATCTGCGACCTCCGCGACCTCCGCGCGCCTTGCGCGGCGAGGGTCTGCCAGATGGGCGCCTGCGGGCTGATCCGCGCCTCGCCGCCGCGCCAGGCGCCCCCGTGGACGTTCAGCAGAATGGGCCGAGGCCGGGGAGGCGCAGCTCCTGCCAAGGACTGGAAGCACTGGCAATGTGAGTCTGGAGAGGAAGACACTTTTGATAGAATTGTCAATCCCTAGCGCTCCAAGTACCTCCTTAGCCTTAGAAGGTATTTGGACCCTCTAAACTCTAAACCCACCACAAACACCTTCTAAGAAGGTCCTTGGAGCCCTAGGGAATTGTATTCAGTTTTCGGAGAGTTGGGACAATTCGATAGGGTGTTCAATTATAATATTTATATTGTTAGAACAGGGAGAGTTGAACACAGTTATACAAATAATTACAATACAAACAGTACAAATCTTATCGTCGCGCAACTTGTCTTTTTTGGGGCTTGAGGTACCCAGGAGTCAACCAAGCTATCAACCCATCAAACCGCTGTTTTATAGGGAAAGCCATTGTTTGACTAAGCAGTTAAATGGCGGCGTCAAAACAAAATTCACAAAAAAACACACACCTGCTGCAATACTATCAAGCTTCTGTTCATGTGAACAAGCCAATATACCGTACCCTTGGTAAAGAGAAATGGTCCATAATGATTCACATATGTTCGCACCTGTCAGCAAACACACACACACACGACAAACATGTTCGTTTTGCAGGTGATTGATCTATCATCTTCGTTGTTCGGGGATAGTGGGGCTACATGAGCTTGGATATTCCCAGGAGCAGGCATAGCCGCTGATCAGTCAAGCAAAACTACAAAACTCTCAACAAGCCTGGTGCACCTGTTGCTGTTGGCCCTACCAACCTGCCACACCTGTCAAGCACCTGCATTGCCCCGGACATAAGCACCCCAAGCACATGCACCGCCGGCGCCAACTCACTACGCCTCGTTTTCCACGCGTTTTCCACCTGCGCACGTGCCCCCCCCTCTCCCACCACCGCGGGTCGCCTGCTTCGTACCACACATCGATGGGCGCCTCTAAGCCCGAAGGCCACAAGCGTTCGATGTGCACCTCACCGCCTCCGTAGCCTGGAACTCGACCTGGGAAGGTCGGAACACGAGTCGGGTTGCGAAGGAGGCGAGGTCGGTGGCTCGTAGGAGGGTACCCGAAGAACACAACGACATACATTACATACATATGGCTATTCAACAGTCTATTTCAACATCTTGTGGCCCTTGAAGGGGGCAACTATCTCTTGGGTACGTCTTCTTTGGGGGAAGAGTGCAAATGGATTTCTTTGGCCCATGTTTGGCCCATGTTTGCAGTTGCCTTCGTTTTGCGCTTTGTGTCTCCAGAGTCCCAAGTGGCGCCGAAGACGGAACGGAGTCACATCTCCCGTGGTGGCTCGGAGTCGGAGGCTCGTGCCGAGCCACACCCTCTCCTTCCTCCCTCAGATAGCACCCTTTTTTTGCAGGAACAGGTTGGTATAGTTCAAGGTTCATGGCCCGCTTTTTTTGGGACATGAACTGTGCTTGCATGCTCACTCTACCAAACAATGATATAAGCAGTCGCAGTGGATAACCACTAGCTGTTTGCTATGATGTCATGGTCTTCGGAACTCGGGGCCATGCCATCCACTTCCATGAAATGGTCTGGAAGTGGAGAGAGACAACTTTTAAGAAACGCGATGACTTGTTCCGGGACGTGCAGTGTCTATGGACAATTCGAAAGAAAACCTCAAAGAAATGATGACCTGTGCAACTACAATCTGAACAAAATAAGACACGTGGAATATCAATGGGTGAAAACGGATCAGGTGGGGTCCACGTGAGGGTTCCATAGAAGTTCCGCCCTTTTGTTTCGAAAAGACAGCATCCCATGCCGGGACTGGGACCAAGTCAACCTGCCTTTGCGCAAGCAAACCAAGTCTGCCTTCTGGGGCCAAGTCCAAGGGACGGTAAAACCAGTAGAAATAGGGATGCAGCCTCGGGTTCGGAGGACACCCTGAAACGAAAGCAAGTCAACAAAAACTAGCTCCATGAACCAGTAGAAGGAGGACGACATCGTCAAAAGCGCACCTCAGTGACCACCTATCGAAACAATACAGGTACAATCAAGTACAGCTCCCACCCAGATCCAACACCTGGTCCTGAAACCCTCATTGAGTCGTTGTTTTATTTCTTGACCAGATGCAGTCAAATGAGCTCCAACTGATCCTGACCCCATTGACCTTGTTCTACTTGCTCTTGTTCAGTGAATGGGAATGAACTTAAAGGTTACCCACTGACTGATCATGACTATTGACCTGGAGGGAATGAACTTGTTTCGACCGGTGGGATGCTTTGGGCTGAGTTTGGACGCCTGTGGGAATTTCAGTAAATACGCTCGAAGAACACTCAGCATTGTGACATGGGAAACACTTGGTTATGAGAGCAGTGGATGGCTCCAAAAAACCTATGGATGGCTCCAAAAAGCCTATGGATTGCTCAAAAAAAAGCCAATGGATGGCTCAAAAAAAAGCCTATGGATGGCTCAAACAAAAAGCCAATGGATGGCTCAAAAAAAAGCCAATGGATGGCTCAAAAAAAAGCCTATGGATGGCTCAAAAAAAGCCTATGGATGGCTCAAAAAAAAGCCAATGGATGGCTCAAAAAAAAGCCAATGGATGGCTCAAAAAAAGCCTATGGATGGCTCAAAAAAAAGGCTCAAAAAAAAACCAATGGATGGCTCAAAAAAAACCTATGGATGGCTCAAAAAAAAGCCAATGGATGGCTCAAAAAAAGCCAATGGATGGCTCAAAAAAAAGCCAATGGATGGC